TGTTGTTCAGTTGTAAATATGCTGCTCTTGCTTTGCCGATCCTCACCCTCACATCTGCCTCTGATCCACCCCGTTCATCAATGATACTGTCCAGATATGTAAAGGTTTTCACATCCTCTAAAGCTTCTCCGTCAAGTGCAATTTGATTGGTGCATGTTGTATTGTATCGGAGAGTCTTGCTTTTCTCTTTGTTTATATTGAGACCTACTGCTGCTGAGGCTGCTGCTACACTGGTCATTTTCTCCTGCATTTCTTTTTGTGTATGTGATAGAAGAGCCGGATCATCTGCGAAGTCTAAGTCATCCAGCTGCATCCTAGCTGTCCACTGTGTATCGTGCTTCCCTCCGGATGTCGATGTCTTCATGATCCAGTCGATTACCAGGAGAAAGAGAAAGGGTGAGAGTAAGCAACCTTGCCTGACACCTGTCTTTGCCTCGAATCAGTGAGTTGTCCTCCATGGACGATTTTGCAGTTTAATCTATCATAAGAATTCTGTATGATATTGACTATCATCTCAGGTACACCGTAGTGTCGAAGAAGCCTCCATAGTGTCGTCCTGTCCACGCTATCAAATGCCTTCCCGTAGCCGATGAAGTTGATGTAGAGTGATGAATTCCATTCAATTTATTGTTCGACATTGATCCGTAGAGCTGCGATTTGTTCTGTACACGATCTGTCCTTCCGGAATCAAGTCTGTTGATCTCGAAGTTGGGCGTCTACGGAGCTCTTCATCCTGTTCAACAATACCCTGTTGAAAACTTTTCCTGGTATTGAGAGAAGAGTGATGCTCTTGTAGTTATCGCACTTCATGAGATCGCCTTTCTTTGTTATTTTGATCAGAAGTTCTTCTTTCCAGTCTATTAGTACTCCTTCTTCATCTCAAATCTTAGTGAAGAGAATGTGGAGTATCTTTGCAGTTGCTTCTACATCTGTTTTCAGTGCCTCTGCAGCAATGTTGTCTGGTCCCGCTGCTTTTTCTCTCTTGATTTGTCTGATGGTCATGTTGATCTGTTCAATTGTTGGTGGACCAACATCGATTGGGAGGTCCGTGGGTGCTGCTTCGATATTGGGTGTGTTCAGTGGAGCTGGTCAATTCAAGAGTTCTTTGAAATGTTCTACCCATCTGTTTAGTTGTTCTTCAATGTTGATGATTACCTTGCCTTCCTTGCTTTTCACTGGTCGTTCTGGTTTACGGTAATTTCCAACGAGTTTCTTTGTTGTATCATACATTTGTCTCAACAGTCCTTTTCTTGCAACCTATCCTTAACTTTCATTTTATATTTATTTGATGATTTTGATTATTACCCTGAAGAAGCCCAGACAAGTTAACTGGACTAAACGTTGGAATTATTTAAATTTTAATCGCTGAGATTATTTCAAATATAATTTTTACATATAATGAATTTGGTTGACTGTTTTAAATGTAATGATCTGCATTTTTGATATACACATAACTTCTACTGAAATGTTGAGTTTAATTTCTAACTTCTTAAAAAGATGTATCCTATTCATTGTATTCTCTAAAGGAATTTAACATCAAATTCTATACATTGGTCTATTGACATAAATCTAAACTGATACAATATCTATTCTCTTCTTTTCTCATTGTCTGTAACTAACCAACCAATCAATCGGAATAACAAATTTCCTCGCTTCAGTTAACTTATAATGAAATATAAAACGTTCACCCTTTATCTTTCTATAGATCTTTAAATCCAATTTTCTTTCTTATTTATCCTTTAACTACTTTTTCTTACCCTATTCTTTATCCTGAGTCAGTTTTGTAATCATCGTTGCCATTAAAATATACTGATATCTTGCCTCGTTAATCTTATCACGTGTTAGTGTAGCTCAGCAACTTGGACCAACGTACCTCTATAACAGACTCAATATTGATGATAACTGAATAAATGGAATACGTTTATATATCACATGAGACATAAAGTTTGATCCTGATTTACATTAGGAAAGTGTTCTCTTCTTATTACTCAGGAACAAATACACCAAATGCCATATATTTAAATGTGTATTATGTTAACTTATTTGACTCATACTCAAATGAGGCGCTATAAGGATGAATTGATAACGGAAAATATAAAATTTGGATTGAATTATTGTTTATTTGAGCATCAAAAGATAAGTTAGTGAACAATTTGAGTCGACTAGGGTTAATATGTTAGATGTAAAGAAAATCACTCGTATACAATTTATTTTTATCGACAGAGGATGTCTAAACAGTCGTCAATTTTTTCCATTATTGTTTAAAATAAATTTTTATTTGTATAATTAAATCCATACAGAATGAAAAAATTGATTTAATTTTGATGGAGTTTTATTCTCTGTACTGAATGGTTTAGTCGTGGAGCTTTCATCATTCCTCTGAAGGACATCATCAGCTGATGATGTTGTCATCTACTTGAGTTACAAATCATCTCTACCACCTCATTATTCAGTTTTCACAACTTTAATTATACTTTATATATCAGTACAATTCATTATTACTTTTCTATGGTTTTCATAAAATATATTAACAACAATTACTTCATTCCAAGTATTTGTTGATTTCTGTAGGGATTGAAGTACATGACATTATTCTTAGTAAATGTTCTTACTGATATGCTGTAATTCCTTTTAAGTTTGTTTACTAAATATAATAAACTTATATTAATTATTTAACTCCAGTTTACTGTCAATCCCAAGCCCGGATAAAGGAGAAGGGTTGGGTATGGGGTAAGCGATCCCATCACGTAGAAAAACTAACTCGCTAAAAGAAACGCTAACCAGAAAACATTATTCAAACCATTTAAACTCTGCCCTCCAAGTCAAAGAAACAATTATGACGCCTCATGATGAAAGCTGAGTTCCTTCAGAAGTCATGAGGCCGACGCACCTTCTAACAACCAGTGCATCACTCCCTTTTAATATTAATTATTTGATCAAATTATAAAAAATGTATGAACCATTATAATCTAATAACTTTATGAATAGTTTACTCGTAATCCTCCTGTTTCCAATCTTTCTTTTTTGAATAACGGGGTGAAAACTTATTTCTACATGGCATTCAAATTGCACCTTTACAAATCTTATTTTGGTTTTCAACTGATGATTATCATTTAGTTATGGGTACATTGTGATAATTCTTCATTTAGAATAGATAATTTGTAGTTATTTCTAAGTATATAAATATTTCCCCCCAAAAAATTAACCCCCATATTTTCCGTATCCCACTGGTTGCGTAATGTCAGTTGAAATATTTTATGTAACAATAAGAGATCTTATATTTGACTTACAAGTCTTTTGAAAAGAAAAAAACAAAGTTAACATACTGCTGACTCATATTAATTAGAATTTATCTAACCGCTGTGCTGCTTGTCATTCATAAACAAGTTACATATTCGAAGTATATAAATGATAGACACGCAGGTAGTTAATAGAAATAGTCAATAATTTGATAGTTTTGAAGTTTAAGACATCATATCAGATATCATTTTCGTTAATACCTACAATTGTGAAACTGAATAATGAAAATACTCATTTGATATTAACAGGATATTTCTTTAAAACAAGCCAAAATTATTACTATTCTTAAGTCATTGAAGGAAGGATGCAATAAACATAAAAAACAGGGTACACGACATTTACTCCCTCAAATTAATGACCATTATTTAATTTGTTAAATAAAATGAAATTACGAAGTGAATCGATATCCTTCATTTACAATAATTCACTTAAATTACAAAAAAAATCTGAATGCTCAAATCATTCGAAAGTTTGATGTGACTGATAAAATCTTACAACTAATCCACGTCTTCTTACATGCACGAAGTTCTTCTTTATGTTCAGTAGAAAAGTTTTTATACAGATCTATCTAAATACACTTCAATGGAATAAATCACAGTGCGATGCTAATCAAATGGTGTTACATACAACAAGACGTAAACTTTAAAAAAATGTAAAGAAACTGCAAACAAGACAGCTGGTACATGAATCAATTTCTGAGATATGTATAATGTTATAAGTCCACCTATTTATTAATCAAATGTAATTGGCTAACCAACATCAAATGATAATTGTTAAATATAAAGCATTAGGTAATTGAAATTTACATTACCGAAACAATGAAATATGGTATAGGCCTATTAAGTTTCAGGCAATTACATACCATGAAAACACAAGTAATTTGATCTTAATCGTAAATAAAGGCTTTTTCAGTATATCTTTAAGTATTCACATAAATATCAATAATGATAAAACAATAAAATAAATTTCATCATTCGTAAGTTTAATTTAACTCAGGACACATCCCTTTTTCTTTATGTAAGTGCATTAAACTTTGTTGAGAAGATAATCATCATACCCCTGGTAACTTGAATGGATGAAATATAGTTAAAATCCACCTTGCAAAAATATGCGATACAATATGCCTGTAATCAATAAATATATTGAAAGAAATCGCATAAATCGACAATGAATACTCATAAACCAGATAAAAATGTATACACATATATATGAGGTGTCTAAATGATTGATATGAAAGTGGTTAAACTTCGTGATCCCTCGGGTAGATATTTGTCAAATAAACACAAGTACTCCTTCTGAAGTGAAATAAAGAAAGAACACGATATTGTATTCAGTCATTCTCTTTAAAGTAACATTGAATTACTAAACATAATTATGGTTTTATTGTAAACAATAAATATACAATAAAAAAGATATGATTAAATCTTGTGAAGAAAATTGAATTTCCATTTATTCTAGCTACATATCACATTTGAAATTCGTCTCCTCTAGTTTCATATGTATTTTTTATGTCATTATTGTTTTACTGTGTTTAGCAGGAAATTAAAATATGCCTATACATATGTATCTCACTGTGGAAAATATGAAGTGAATGAAGGGAGAACATGATTGAGATGTTGAAAAATGCATTTAAAAGAATGAAAAGAATAAGCGAAAACATATAATAAAGGAGAGTAACGAAAATTTATCAATAATGGGCATTAAGTCTTTTTACATGTTTTAAATATCCGTGTACAGAATTGTATGAAAGTTGTACGAAATTGATGTGACATTGAACAATACAATATAAAATTAATACCATTATTAACAATTGTTAATAGATCCATAAAATCACCCAATGCATTATACACAGTATCTGTGAAACAATCACCAACAAGTCCACTTAAAAATAGTAATATTGCCTGTAATGTATAAAAGGTAGTGAAAGAAGCGAACATTATAATAATGAATCAGGTAATTTAATGTTATATATATATATATATACATATAGCTACAGTGCAAATAGACTGATAGAATTTAATCAACATCAAAGGGACTAGATAGTCATATCTTTGTTCAATCGATTGCAAATATTTAAATCCTGAACGAAACTCCAGAATAGCTTAATGATGAGGCTGAATGATAAGAAATCGATTCCTTCAGGAATCACCATTTCCCTTGACATTTCTGGTACATCTTGATAAAGCGTTCTGAATAACAATCAACTTACATCTAAGGTTTGCAGTTCACAACCAACCACCTCACATATGTATGAACGATCTTGTATATATCCTTTCAGAGTCTGACTTTTTCATAAATTTGATTGATTTTCCCAAGTTATATGACGTTATGAAATAAAATGTTTATATATTAATCCTGATTGCTTTAAAACAGGTGATGATAAATTATTTCGATATCGATGGACCCTCAAGGAGTTTTTGTTTTTCTCTAAACTATTGCATAACAATGATAAGTATCATATGATAAGTTATCAGATTAATTTTATAAAAACAAATTAGATCACATATAAATTTATCAAATATCAATCCAATGAAATAGGGGAGAAATAAGAACTACTGAAGTACTTTTGAATATATACTACTTTAAGATATCAACGGAAATCATTTGAAGTCCTATTAGAAATCAACGAACTGATGTTACTGTTAGATGAAAACAAACCAATCTATTTAAACATTCAATTTTATTAAGTTTGCTTTATGTTGATCTTTTTAATTAATTTTCTTTATATTCGCTACATTCTTTTAATTTACAATCTATACTTTTTTTAATGCTTGAAAATTATTTATATTTTTATCAGAAGGGGTTTTGTGGAGATTTAGTATTTTCATAGTTGAAAGCATGAGTCGATTGAAGCTAGACCACCAAGAAAAACCTGGAAGTACTGGACGACCGTACCGTCCTATTGTGGGACTCCTCAGCAGTGCGCATCCATGATCTCGCCTCACGGGATTCGAACCCAGGGCCTATCAGTCTCGCGCCATATCACTTAACCGATAGACCACTGAGCCGGCATCCGATGATGCTAATGTCTAACTCCAACCAATCCACGAGGTTGGGCAACCATTTACCAATCGTCTTCAGTGCGTTCCTATTTCACAACAAACTTGGTTTGAACTCCACTGGTCACGGATTCTCACTAGAACTCCAGGAATTATCTCGCGAGGCGAGATCATGGATGCGCATTGCCGAGGCTTCCCACAATAGGACGAAACGGCCGTCCAGTGCTTCCAGATTTTTTTTGATGGTCTAGCTTCAATTGACTCATGCTTTCAACTATTTATATTATTACTTAATAATCAGCGTCAATTTGAAATGCGACTTAATGTGTTTTGATTTTTAAAATATCGGCACTTCACTAGTTCAGTCATCTTTTATTTTTAAACACCTGGGTATTCTGTTTTTTGTAGCCAACTATAATAGTTTAAACCTTACATCTCAAACTTCCATTTAATGGTTTTCTTCTATAACTAATCATTAGGTATTATTATTATTATGGTGTAAATAATTTGTAATTTTAAGGATTATCATATGAATGAGAACAAAATATATAAGTGAACAATATTGTTCTCAACTATATCATGATTAGGCTTTACTATTATATACAGTAATATTTATATGCATAGACGAAATTATTAAACCAATCAAGGCAGTTTATGAGTCAGTGATGACATTGGAACAGATTACATAACTAACCACAATAAGTAAAAAAGTATAAATTGATAGTGTGATAACAGGTGTACTAGTTGTGGTAGAAAAAGATTAAAGTTTACAAATTTCCTATGAACACAAAGACTTGGATTGTTGACTCTAAACCCTATGACTTCTGCTACGAACAAGAGGAGAGATCGAACCTCATAAGGAAAACTAGTAGGAATATGATAAATCATTTCAAATGACGTACTTATATCTACAACATGACATCTATCTATCATGTGTGATAGAACACAGCTGAGTAATGCTTTGACGACACCGTTTCCGAGCCACGTAGGGAGTTTTTTTACCAACTCTTCGGATGAAATCATGTATCGTTCCGTGTTGAACAATTTTTTACTATTGGTTTCTTTATTTTTCTATACATTAAAGTTTCTACATTGTTAACTAACTGTTTGTAATTAAACATGTATTTTTCCAGTAAAGTAATACTTTCTAATGTGGTAAACAAGAAAAAACTGTGATGAGACTATAATTTATGGACGACGTTTGATTGACACTAGACTGACCTTGAGATTGTCTACCTAATAACCTGAATCAAATGAGGGTTATAATACTATGTGAGGAATTTGAATTATGATCTACAGTTGATGATTAAGGTTAGAAATTAGATTTCAGGTTTTCATCACGAACTGACATTAGTTAAAATGCCAAAGTTCTATTTAGTCAAGTGGATGAGTGAATTTTGCGCCGAAATCCGAAACCTGTTTTCTTATACGTGATTGGTTCGTCTATGAATTATAGTCACGCCATTAATTAGTGAACAATAATTTTTCTTATACTGTCGTCAATTTTACTCTAATGATATTTTACCATTTAAAAAGAGAACAATAAAGATCAAATTTATTTCCGGTAAAATAAAAAATAAATTAATCAAATTGTTGTTTTCTTCATTAACATTAAATGGTTTTTTCTTCTTTACGAACAAGATGAATTCAGATTCACTTAGTATTATTTTTTTAATCTTCCCAATGATGCTTAGGACTGCAACTGGTCGGACTCTTATAGGCATATGTGCATATCTATCTTTGCTTATACTGCTTGTGAATTAAGGCGATACGCACATTATGCACATATGTCAATTAAAGACTGACCAGTTGCAGTCCTAAGCATCATTGGGAAGATTTAAACAAACAATACTAAGTGAATTCAAACTTCACCCCATTGCACAAGCAAATGGCTATCAGGGCTCAGTGGCTCAGTGATTAACGTGATGGCGTTTGAAGCGAAGGGTCCTGGGTTCGAGTCCCTAGAGTGAACATCAACTCTGGGATGCAGGTACATCCAGCTGACGAGTCCCAAATAGGACGAAACGCGCGTCCTGGATTCCACTGCTAGCCACTATCCATCTTTGCTTATAAGATGAATTAAGTTTCTTTTTTTTCAAATGTTATATCCCGTAGATAATTATAAATGGTAATTTTGAGAACTATTTATGGACCAACATAATATGTATATTTCCTATTGTATAATTTTTAAGTAACTTAACTATTTCTGTTCATGTTTCCTTTATTATAAGCTTTGTTTTGACATATGAACTACTACTATACGATTTATCATTCTTGAGTTATCCCTAGTCTATTAATTATGGTTCCCCACATTCACAGCCACTTTTGGTTGAATCTTGTACAAATGTTATTTTCTATTTTATGTTAAGATGTGGTCAGTTTGTTTGGTATATAAACCCAGTATTTTTGAGAATAATGATTCATATTGAAGAGGCTGTTATTGGTATTCTGGACTTAAGTGACTGGGTTAGGCAGAAAGCAGGACTGATAAGTACTCAAGACTGCTCGTACGGTTTTCGTGTATCATTGCTCTGGTCGATAATTTCACTCTAATTGGCGGTCTTATAACGTTCATTTAATAGCAGGGCACTCAGGCAATCGATATAACAAAAAGAGTATTGTATTTCATATTATAAGAATTCCCTTGAATATTTGGTAGGTTGAGGCTTGTTTTTAATGAGATAATACATGTATAATAAATGTACGTTATGTACATACTATGTTGGTCTGCAATGCACTTTATAATTATTCTTATAACAGTTTCTACTGTATTAAGTATTTGTATACATACTGATCATTAAATAGTGAATAATTTAATTATGACACACTGATGGTATTCTTATAATCATTTGCCTAATTAAATGAAATTCGATATTTTGATAAATCTTAATGAATCATGAAGAATTTAATATAAATGACAAGGTAGCTGAAAGTTAGTTAATCCATAAAATTTATGATCAAATAGAAAACATCGTGATTTTAGATCATTGAACAACGTTGATGAATAAAAACCTAGTCAGAATTGTTTACGAAATCGGGAGGACGAAAAGCGAATGTCCGGGTTGGTGGACACGGAGGGTTCACCTAAGGAAGTTGGAAAACCCTGATTCCATTAGCCCATGAGCTCCAGTATCCTGTGGGAACAAATGGTGTATGAGCCAATTATTGGTCACCGGATACCATGGGACTGCATCTCCTAACGCTGCTCCACTGCCTTGTGTATCAGACCTTTAGAATAACTGCTGCGAGTAAAACTCCCTACATCAACCACCTGTTCCGGTTCGCGCACCTGGGCAGTATCACAGCCCTCACACAAATCAAATAAGATTTGTGTAGCGCATATATATCTAGTGCACCTTTGTACCAATGTTTATGTGTTCAAATAAATAAATAAGTCAGAACTATGAATTAAAACAATAATTCTGGGAATAATAAAGTGAGAATTCTCTTCTAAAGAAAATAATCATTTAATTCAAATTACGTGATTATAACGTCTCTACCCGGAATGTTTGTTAATAATTTATCATACTTTACCATTTATTCTTTAGTTTATCAATATACATCTTTTTGTGGAGTCCTGACAACTATAAAATGTATATTCAAGCATATTATGTTTATATCAATAATCTATTCGAATAGGAGTATGTAGCAAGTTGAATTAGTGAGTAGGATATTTTTATCTCTAAAAATTTTTCAAGGTTATTCATAATGAACCAAGCACATGAAAATCTTATATTTGAATAAATTAGTCGCTAAGATAAGAGTTTATTTACATTAATCCCCGATGACCAATCAAAACAATTTGTTTAACTTAATAAAAAAAATTTTAAAAATTGAATAACTTTATTGATAATGCTTTATTGAGTATCACTGTGTACAGGTGAATTCTGAGAGGATAATTAAATCACACTAGATATTCATATAACTTATACTGTGAATATCATTAATATTACTGGTAGTAGTAATAGTAGTACGTAGTAGTAAGTAGTAGTAGTAGTAGTAGTGTAGTGAACAGAACACTGGTTAGGGACAATCGAATATAATTAAGTAAAAGTTACAGACTATCTTAGTAAATTCTGAAACCCATACAATGGACAGTCAATTTGCAAATTAACAACCGATTGTCTCAATCTTCACTGTTTCTTCTCTTATTCCATTGCTCATGCATTTTCCAGACGATTGCGCTTCATTTCAGTTCTTTCCTCATCGGTCTTCTGCCCAAATACATTCTATGTCTGACCGACACCATATACTACTTATATAGATATAAGTAGACCACACCACAGTAGTAGTAGTAGGAGGAGGAGGAGGAGGGGGAGGAGGAGGAGGAGGAGAAGGAAGAGAAGGAGGAGTAGTAGTATTAGTATAATCGAACTATGGAAGTAGGTAAATCGAATGAATCATTGACATATTTTTTTGGTAATTAAATATTTTATTACAATAATTTATTGCAAAAATAAACTTAATGACTTTTTGTATGCAAAATAATCAGTATCTACATTTTGTTGTTTCTTCGAATTGAATTATTGTCACAAAACAATAAAATTTCTTTATGAAATAATCAAGATTGGTTGAAATTAGACATCAAGACTGTTGGATCCCAGCCCAGTAATCTAGAGGTTGAGCACTCACGTGAGAGACCAAAAGTCCTAAGTTCGAATCCCGCGTATGGGATCGTGGATGAGCACTGCTCAGGAGTCCCATACTATGACGAAACGGTCATCCAGTGCTTCCAGATTAGCCTTAATTGACTCATGAACTTAACTATTGAATTATAGTTGTCGATAGCATAAGTTTGACATTTCAGTGTTAATGCTTAATTTTATTTTATTGATGTGGAGTTAAATCAATCTTCTTTTTATTTTGAAAGAAAATTATGATTTCCTATTTGAAATTATCAATGTAGAACTAATGATCAGTATCACGCGATATTCTTCACTAATCTTTTCAATTATTATAGATTTTAGATTTTAGATTTTTATATTTTTGATTCAATTAGATTAAACTGGATATTGTACCTGTACCTAATCTCTCTTTTTTTGTGGTGAATGAACATGACATAATTGTGATTGACCTATGAATGAATACATTAGCTCATTGAATAATGTTCAGTAATATGGATGATTAAATAACACATTACTGTTGTACAAACTCTTCAGTAATTGAAATTTCATTTTATCTTTGTACAAGAAGTACATGTTCATGTTCTGATTAAAAGAGTATAGTGATTAAACTAATTCTGTATGAACCATTCTTGACAATTTCATTGTATGATGGCTGAATGAGCAAACATGTCAGAATGTTTACTTTTGAAGTTCACTGATTGAATTCGGATCATTATTGAAGCAAGAAAACGAAATTTTTCGTACGATATGAAGAAAGCTGAATTCTAGGTCCACTACTGTACTTGGTCATAGGTCAGTAATGCTGATAAATTATAAAGTAGAAAGAAATGATTGTCTACTGTCCCCTAGAACTCACTTATCTTGAATCTGAATTCGGTTTGTGACTAAAACCGAGTAGTAATTACATTTATCACTATGGTTTAGCTCAGTTTATAAGAATAGTATTGTTGAGTTTAATTACATTTTTTCCAAACATCATGTTTATTCAAAATATTTTGTTCTAACATATTATATTACTTGCATTTCAAATTGATTGCGCTCCATCAAGAGCTTCTCTTCCTTTTTGGATATAAACCAAATCTAAATTATTTAGATCTAACTAGGACACAACAAGTTTTGAAGGAAGACAAATTATGAAATTTAGAACAAAATTTGCAAAAAAATAATATTCCATTACAGTTGTTGCTGCAAATTTATCAACTTCATTAAAGGTTATGGAAGAAGTAATACTAGTTTTGATCACAAACATATCAAATATATGAGCTCTGATGAAAGACTGATAAGCATACGAATATGTACCAACTCCTACTAATATCAACAAGTAGGGTTTAAATCAAACTTTGTCATTCAAACAATAGAATGAAACCTAAACCACAAAATTTATGTAAATAAATGTTTCCCAAGCAATGATTAGAAATTTAAAATACATGGATTCTGGGGGTAGCTAGTGTTTTGTTTGAAATGAGATATCTAAATATGTTTAGTGTGATAGACCTGATTTAGAGTAAACTTATGGATAGATCCTCACCAATGAAATTGAACCAACGTTTTATATACTTCCCAACTGAACAAGTAATTGACTCCTGTCTGTAAAATTTCTGCTAATATACTATTATTTCAATCCTTCAGATACAACGGCATACAAATAACTGAACATATTAAGGTCAAACAAATCCTATGGGAACATTAAAATGAGCTTAATTTTAAACACAGTCAAATTTGTTTTTTTTTAAAGGGATGTCATTATGATGTAACTACGCCTACCACTAAGGACATTACTTAGTTATCTAAGGAATCATTTTAATAGTTTAATTCATGAGTCCATTTAAGCAAGACAGCCATGGAAAACCCGGAAGAACTGGACGACTCTTTCATCCTAGTACGGGAAACTTCAGCAGGGCTATCAATCATCCCTCACGCAAGATCTAAAGGTAATGCGTTTGTGCACGAAGCCAAATGTCCTGGGTTCAAAATCCGCCTGCGGTATTGTGGATGCGCACTACTGAAGAGTCCCGTACTATGAAGAAATGGTCATCCAGTTATTTCAGGTTTTCCATGGTAGTCTAGATTAAATCAACTCATGAATTCAACTATTAAATTCCTACAATCTCTACAAAATCCCTGAATCTGATAAGGAAGCATTTGTTTACACAATCAATAATAGAACTGATCACTTAATACAAATAAATCGATTTAAAAAGTAAATAAAATATCAATACAAAATTAAATAATGCTTAAAAAACAGTCGCTCAAAACAATTGTCTGTGAACCAACACCAAGATCAGAATTTTCAATACAAATGTCAACACAGTTCTACTGTATGGGGTGGAAACCTGGAGAACTACGAAAGCCATCATCCAGAAGATACAGGTGTTTACTAACAGTTGTCTACGCAAGATACTTCTGACCCGTTGACCAGACACTGTTAGTGACAACATACTGTAGGAGACAACAAACCAGATTCCAGTGGAGGAAGAAATCAGGAAGAAGCGCTGGAAGTGGATTGGGCACACTTTGAGGAAATAACCCAAGTGCACCAAAAGACAAGCCCTCTCATGGAATCCTGAAGGCCAAAGAACACATTACGCCGAGAAATGAAGACAAACATGAGAAGAATGAACAAAAGTTGGATAGAACTAGAAAGGAAGGTCCAGGACAGAGTGGGTTGGAGAATGCTGGTCAGCAGCTTATGCTTCATTGGGAGTAACAGACGTAAGTAAGTAATATATATATTTATACAGCTTACCTGAGGAAGTAACGTAATCATAAATATGATAACAATAGCTAATAAAAATTTTGTCATTCTATTTTCTGCTTTTTCACGTTCATTTTCAAAAGTAGTACGTTTTTTTAATAGAGTATCATTTTTATATATTGAACTAGTGGTGTATGGCAATGTGTTAGACATATGAACTGATTGAAATTTAACATTTACTTTTGTATTATGATTAATGAATTGATGTTTATTATTATGATCTAATTCATTATTATCAGTGATCACAGAATTTGAACTAGTAGGATTTTGTGGATTGGATGTTTCAACAATAGGATCAACACAAATTATTGATTTAGTTTTCATTTTTCTCATACGAGAATTTTGTCTACGTATTGTAAATATAATCAAGAAACTGAGTACACATAAACATAATAATGGAAGAAGTTTCAAAAAAATTGCTGTATTCCAATAAAGATAATTTAACATAACTTCATTATCCACATAAGTAACCATGTAACTAATCACTTTATCTTGATTATTATTTTGTACAATATGATGATTCATAATACATGGAATAGATAATATACTACTGATTACAAGTACTATAGTAATAGCAAGTTTAGCTCTTTTCATACTGCATAAAATTTGACATTGTACTATAAATTTAACATATAGAACACGAAATACAGCTATAACAACAACAATATAACTTGATGTCAAATGAAGAAAATTTTGTAGACTAATATGAAATAAAAGATAAACAGCCCAATTATAAGTTGAATTACGTGTATGACGACCAATTAGAAAATAACTTGTAAATGGTATATAGAAAATCATTATTAAACCATCACTGATTGCCAAGGATGTTAATAGAAAATTTGTTGGTGATATCATATCACGTTGATTAAGTACAATGACAATACAAATATTAGATAATACACATATAGGACATAGAAATAATGTAATATATCCATGCATATCACCATAAACACGTCCAAATAATTCTAATGATTCAATAGGTTTACATTTTGTATTGATTATTGACATAATATTAGTAGTTGTTACTAATGATCTTGTTGCCATAGATTGATTCATTTCATTTATTGGTGATGTTGATAGATTATTTGTGGTTATTGTTGATGCTATAGTTGTTATCATTGTTGTTAATTGAGTCATATTATTGAGCATGATTCAACCTGTTCAATATATATCCTAAATTATATAATCCATGAAATTAAAATAACCTGAACACAATGTAAAGAGAGAATGAAAATATAATTTAGCGCTAACACGTAATTGCTAGAAATAACACATTAATTGAACGCTAATTTACATTGCCACTCATTAGGGGAACAATTTAACAAGAAATTTGGCACCAATTATATCCAAGCCATTAAATACAAAGATTATCTTTTAAATAATTTTAGAGGCTGAAATTTAAATAATTCTAACAGTTCAACTGACAGTGTGATAAGAGCTATTTATGACAATACAAAATTATCATAGGTAGTTAAGGTTTAATATAAGTCTGTTCAAATTCTTGTTCAATCCTGTTTAGATATCGATTTATTATGCATTGAGAATATGAGTTATTTGACGTGGAAAGTCCTCAGAATGAGGTATGGGTATATATGTTTTCTATTGTTTTGGTTACGATAGGGAAAAATTCATTTCTTCGTTTATGTTAAAGCCAAAAGCACTTAATAAAACAAGTTAATAATTGTAATATAGACGTTAGATACAAGGGACATGATTAATATTTAAGGAACCAAATATCTTAAAGAAGGAGTAAGTGCTGAAGTTCTGTAAATATTGGAAAATCGGAACAATCTGAATAAAAGAGATGGACTATAGTTAGCTAAACCATGGCAACTGTCGTTTAACAAATGAAAGCACAAGCCTGAGAATGATATAGTAACTTATATCATTCGAATTCATCTCTGACTACTGTAAATGTGATAACGTAAGTCATTATCCATCTGTTCTTAATCCACAAATCCCTAGACAGGTTTGATTTGTTTATATGTACTTTCAATTGCACAATAAAAAGATGTTTACATTTTCCCTGGGCATGGCCAAAGGTATCATATTTCATTGAAAATTTGAAAAGAAACATTAGCATACTAATACAACACGTAAATACATGTTCACTATACATCGAATTCGTATTTGAACAGGATTACATAACTCGTTAAATAAACCTATTTTAAACTGATTTTTGATAATTCTGATTTTATTTCCCTAATCACTCATATTTCATATAATTCACATAACTTGTGAATTGCATTATTAAATTTTGTTGAAAATGACAAAATGATTTGCAGTGTAGGAACTAAAAGTTCAAAACAGTAATCTTAAGTCAAGTAATAACTATAATATTAGTAAGCAGAGATGGATGTTGGTCAGCGATGGAATCCAGAACGCGCGTTTCGTACTATTTTGAACTCGTCAGCTGGTTGTAACTGAGAAAGCGTTTGAAGCTAACGACACTGGGTTCTAGTCTCAGAGTGAACATTAACTCTGAGATGCAGGTACATTCAGTTGACCAGTGCCGAATAAGATGAAGCCCGCATCTTCGACTCCACTGCCAGTCACTATCTATCTCTGCTTTTAATACTTGCGACTTAAGGCAATATCGAGGCAATCCGTAAGGATACAGATACGCCAATAAGAGGCTGATCAATCGCAGTCCTAAACATCAATGGGACAATTCAAACAACTAATACATAAAGGAATTATAATATTTGTTTGGTATATTTATTCACATCAAATAGAAAATCATCAAAAAATAAGTGAATTTATTTTTTTTATTTTTTGAAAAAAATTGAAAAATGATCATTGACATGCATAAGTAGAATATTCAGTTTATATTATAATTTCCCATTGATGTATTTTTACATAGGAATAATTAAACTATGGAGAATTTTGATAGAAGTTTGTTCTTTGACCTGGATGGTTTGGTCTTGGAGCTTTCATCATTCTTCTAAACGACATCAAATCGATGAAAGTTCCACGACCAAATCATCCGGCTCAGAAAACAAAACTGTATTAAAGTCATCTACCTGAGCTACAAATTTTCACTATCTCATAACTATGAAGAAAATGTGATTGGCTTTTCTCAAAATTAATAGAATGATGGTGAAACAGAATTATTCAAGATAACATTGAATTATCATATATCTAAGCGAAAGAAACCTGATTTTCATTTATGAATAAGCTGTACCATTTATTTGTAATATGCATATATACAAACTGGAAAAATAAACGATGCGATAACCGATTCATAATAAAATAGCTGACACATTTTGAACCTAATAGTTGAATTCATAAGTAGATTTTAGCTATACCACCATTGAAAACCTGGAAATACTGAATGGCAGTTTCGTTCTAGCATGGGACTCATCAGCAGTCCACACACACGACTAGAACTCGAGCGCAAATACTTAACCTCTAGACTACCGGGCCGGCATCCAGCGGTGTTATCGTTTAACTTCAACTAATCCACAAATCTGAGCAACCGTCCACCATTGTCTTCAGTGAGTTACTATCTTAAAACAGACACGGTTGAACTCCACCGATCACGGCTGTAGTATGATAATTCATTGAATGAATTCTTTTGTAAAACTGGTTGAAATTATTGAATAAATAATATTCATTCAAATTTATAACTCAGATACAATATAATTATTAATTGTATAATTTGTAATAGGTTCATTAGTTTTAAAAATAAACGATGTTGCTATGGACTTTTATTTCAGAATTTGTCAAACTATGATATTGATTATAATGGTGGAGAAGATTTGTAACTCAGGTGGATGATGATTTGGATAGAGTTCTGTTCTCTAGCTCAGAGAACAAAACTGATGATAATGTTTTACGGAAAACAAATTAAATTTTAAAAAATTACATAACATACTTTAGTTCTTAATTAAAATAAAATACTCTAACTCTTTGATGTTGAATTGGATTCATAAGCAAATTTGATTTAAACATTATATATCTATTATTGTTGACAATAAAAATTAAAGTACATTTACCTAGGCTAATTTACGTAATCTATATCTATCGGTATATCTGTATTGTTTGTTTTGGAAAACATCTAACTGTTTTACGTCATCTAAATGTATATCTAATAAATTTTAGTCATAGAAGAAAATATTAATTTGTTTACTAAAATTTATTTGAACAACAAACACATAGTAATATACAAAAAAAGAGACAGATTTGATCAATTTGACATCATTATCAGAAGGAGGTTTTGTGGAGAATTTAATATTTTAATAGAGTTGAAATCATGAGTGAATTGAAGCTAGACCAGTGGAGTTCAACCAGATCTGTTGGAAGATATCAACTCACTGAAGACATTGGTGAATGGTTACTCAATGTCGTGGATTGGTTGAAGTTATACATTAACACCAATGGATGCCGGCTCAGTGCTCTAGCGGTTAGGCGTACGCGCGCGAGACCTAAAGGTCCTATGTTCGAACCTTGTGATGCGGGATCGTGGATGCGCACTGCTGAGGAGTCCCAAATTAGGACTAAACTGCCGTTTAGTTCTATCAGGTTTTCCATGGTGGTTTAGCTTCAAATGACTCATGATTTCAGCTATATAAAATTTGACATCAGGTCAATATTTTGAGAAAAGTTTCCGTTTATTCATTAATTACTTTCAGTACGAATGTTCAAACAGAGAATACTCTTCCTTTTTTTAATAATAATAATAATTTACGTTACTACTATATTTTTTGTTCTGTATGACCTCATGAGGTTATCATTAAGAAAATCTAAGGTTCATAATTTTATTTACCTAATTAATCATTGTATTCTGTTGATTGATCATTTGTTAATTTAGTTAAATATGCTTTAACATGATCTACTAGTAGTAGTAGTATGTATGTATATATGAAACATTTGAAATTATTACTTATTATCAAATAATGAGTAATATTATAGTATCTGATGTATGAAAGATAAATTAGACTAAAGAAATTATACTACTTAGTAAATCAATAGATATCGGTAAAGAAGGTAGTGATATTTTGATTCACAACCACAATTCACTAATTAATTTTTCAATAGTTGAGATCATGAATCATTTGAAGATAGACCACCATGGAAGACCAGCCTGGAAGCACTGGACGGCCGTTTCGTCCTATTATGGGACTCGTTTTAAAATGAACGTTACTCACATGAATAATTTATATACTTTTTTTTATAAAACAGTGTAATTCATGGTATTGTTATAGTCAAGAAATGTATAGACCAGGATATGTTTAAAGCTAGTCATATAGTCAGTAACAAACATAAAACTGGTAAAGTTTTAAACAATTTTTTAACTACAACTAGTCTCTAAATTTTTATAGTTGGAATCATGAGTCAATCGAAGCTAGACCACCATAGGAACCTGGAAGCACTGGACGGCCGTTTCTTCCTAGTGCGGGACTCCTCAGCAGTGAGCATCCACGATACCGCCTCGTGAGATTCCAACACAGGACCTATGAGTCTCGCGCGCGAGTGCTTAACCACTACACCTCTGAGAAGTCATCCAATGGTGTTGATGTCTAACTTCAACTAGTCCACAAAATTGAGCAATCATTCACCAATGTCTTCAATGAGTTACTATTTGACAACAGACTCGGTTGTTTATATTAATTATAGTTATATTAATTACAGTTAGTTATCGTAAAAAAAGTCAATTTAATGTAAAAAAAAATTTCAATGATTGTAGAAATCTGTTTTCTTGATTTATAAGCTACTTTAGAACAGTAATTGAGGTAGATTAATACGAATTCATTACATTTTATGATTACTTTTTAGCTGCTTACAACCAATATGTATTAATGTTTAACATTGAAGTATGATATAACATTAGATAATTAACGTTGATGACTGAAGGAATAAGAGTAACAAAGATTATCAATGATAAGTATACATATTGTAGTTCTGACTTTATTATAATAAATAATGATATTTCTAAGACACAGGTATGTATTTTACGTTATGTAGTTGAAAATAACTTCTGAAAATGTGCGCGCCGTTTCAACTTGCGCTATGTGCATATATATATATATATATATATATATATATATATATATATTCTTTGTTTTGAATCTTCCCATTGATGGTTAGGACTGCGATCGATCAGTCTCTTATTGGTATATGTGCATACTATACGTATTGCTTAGATA